GCTAAGAAAAACTCTTAAGGTGTATTTTTTATGGACTGAAATGTGTGTAATAGCAAAAAGAAGTTGCTGTGGCAATCAGAAGAAGCGATGACAGAGCCTTGGAAAAGAGGTTTTGCCATTAGAATGAAGAATGATCCAATAATTCAGAAATTGGGAAGGGTAAGGGAAAAACTGGAATTCTGGTTGGGTCATAGTAAGTTAAAAACTTCATGGAAAAGTAACAAAAATCTAATGAATGTACTTTGCTTCTCATATCACCTGCTTTGTTCTGTGCAATGCAAATTTCAGGAGAGCACATAGAGATGCAAATAAATTCATGTGTAACGTGGCAAGAACAAGTCAGACTAATGCTTGAAATTTCTGCCCTCTATTTATGGCCTCCTGCTTACATTGCAGAGCAAAGCAAGTCGTATATTGAACAAACATTGCACTGTTTTCCATCTTCCTTTAACAGGACTTAATTTTACTTTTAAATTTTAATTAGTTCCACACAGGGGCCTGGCAGTCCCAATGCAGAGACACTACAACTTACAGGTTGTTTGTCATTACAACTTCTGGACTGTTAAAAGAGGTGTAAGTTACAACCCAGGGACCTGATGACCAAAATATTGTCACCAGCTGGACTCTGCAGGCAAACATTTGTATTTGCGCATGCTGATAGTTCAGGTGTTTAAAAAACAAGGGTATTTGTGTGTGCTGATCATTCAGGTGTTTATAAAACAAGGTCCTCATTGCTGTCACTGCCTGTCTGACACTGATACGGGTGTGTGGTTGTCATGCAGGTGTTGCAGGTTAAACCACCCTGGACACAGACATAGACAGACACACTGACAACCAGAAATCCCACAGCTTTTATACACGTGCTTTTAAAGATAGTGCTCTGAAACCTTATATTTACTTTTATTCTAGTTTAAATAAAGGTTAGCTGTGAGATTTAAGCCACTTTCTGACAATGAACTTCTAATTACACAGCGAAGGCATCAGCACAGCTGGAAAACTCCTTCAGCCTGCGTGTACCATGGCTGGACAGTCAGTGGGATAGCTTAGGGGAGAAAACAGTTCAATATTCCAGTATATTTTCTGCTAAATACTGTGCAATTCCAAACTGGACTGAAATCCAGCCTGTTTTATTCTGCTTTCCTACCAGGTTACATCCCTGCACTCCATTACATTGGAATGTTTTAAAGCTGACACAGTACAGGAAAAACTAATGAAATCTATTAGACTTCCAGTACAAAAGAGGAGAAATTTCTAAGAAATACTGCACAAAAAAAGTGCAGATTAAAAAAATGGAAGCAGTGGAGAACAGTAACTATGTGCCACAAAAAGATAAACACAAAAAGCTCAGCTCTCTCTTATAAGACACCCACAGACTCCATCTGTCATCCCAACCCTTCCTCTCCCAACTGTTCTTAAATTAAATGAATGCTTCTAATGGGAGATTTTCTGATGAAAGCTTATGAGAATTCATCCAAAGACAAATTAAAACAATGCCGTGGAATCAAGCAATTCACCTCTCTCATAGGTTGCCTGGCTTCAGTAGTTGCATTTACAATAGAAAAAAAACAACAATAAAACACCCAAATAAAGAACAACCAGCGAAAGAGCAAACCTTGCACTGACCAAAGCTGATGCAGACGCAGGTCGCTCTCTGCAACTGTTCTAACAGTCCTACAGCTGAGATAAAGGTTATTTCACTCTGTATGAAAGACTCCTGTACACATCAGATTTACTGGTTCTGTCCTTTATAGGCCCTGCAGTCTGAACACCTCCCAAGGGATCAGCAATCTAAAACTATATATCATCTTTTTCTTCATGTAAAAAGACCTAGCCTGGGCTACTGAGTCTGAAGTGGCTTTAAAATGTATTTTCCCACTCACCACTTATCATTTTATTTGCTTTTAGCATCCTACTCAGCATCCTATCCATACTGGACATGAATAACCTGTCCAGAATTCCCATTCTCACTTTTGTTTCTGGTCATCTGAATTTTGGAGTTGCTGTTTAATAACAACATTCCTCTGTGTTTAGGTCGAATGCATTTAATTTCTGTCTCTTGTAGCCTAGATGGACATATTAGCAAAATGTAATGAAATGTTTCTATTAAACCCAGGTCTGAAGGAGGACACTTGAAAAGGAAAGAGATCTTTAATTCAGACCCGATCAGCTGTCAGTGCCTCCTTCATAACAGTCTCAGTTGCCTCTGTATTTCACCATTTGCTCTTTGCATTCGCACCAGGCAGTCTGATACCAAATGGTTTGAGTATTTTAGTTTTCTTAGCTAATAGTCCCACTAAATTTAGATCTAGCAGCACAAAGGAACTTAAAAGAAGAAGAGCCACCCCTCGGGCCCCAGAGAAGTTCCCAGTGCCAGGACAGGCTGAGGCTGAAAGCAACTGGGATGGGGGATGCATGACCGGGCACTGCTCCTGGTGGCTGTGGGGCCCACGGCCATTGGTGTAAGTGGGGCCAGGGCCAGGGCCATGCTCAGGAGTGCCCCTGCTGTCAGGGAGAGCAGGGGCAGCCAGAACTCTGCCTGCGTAAACCAGGGGCTCTGTCATCAGCACCCTCTGGTCTAGATTGTTCTGCTGCTGCAGGTGCTTCATTCCCCTCCCTGGGTTCTCAGCACTGGATTGCAGTGCTCACATTGCCAGTCCCCTTGGATTTTCTTCTCCATTTGCTTTAATCTATTGTGCTCCCTCCCTGCTCTCTCACTCCCTTTGCATGATTCCTGCCCTCACCCTCTTCATTACCAAAGTCACTGGGACTTTTGGAGCTCACAGCGGAAGGTAACTGACCCCCCAGTTCCCCGGCTCTCTGTGATTTCTGTGTGTGCTCTTTCACAGTTTCTCTTACTGAAGTCCCTCACTGTTGTACTTAACCACCGTGAGTGACAGAAATCCAATGCTGACCACTTCATTATCTGCCGACCTTGTCCCCTGGCCTCCTGCCCCTCCATCTCTCTTGGGCAGTTTGCCCTGTGTCGCAAGTCCTTGTTAAAGGTCAGGACCCCAAACCATCAGCATTGGTCGTGTTGTTTTACTGTATCACCAGAGAAATCAGGGCTGTCGGATCTCATTAGAGCCCTATTTACGGGTGGAACACCGCTCCTGGCCCAGGATGAGCCGCTACCTTTGAAACGCAATCTTCCCCAGATCAAACCAGCAGCACGCAGGGATTATATTCCACCAGTCAATCTCTCATAATCGCTCCCACCCTTATTGGCATGGCTACTGTGGTCCCTGCATGAGAAAGGAAATCCTCTTAACCAAATACTCTCCTCAGGAGTAAGACTCCACTTCCCGATGAAGTGGCATGGGCCGTGGCCACAGGGAGGATGGGACAGGCGGCCACCCAGGCTCACACAGAGCAGCCTGGTCAGTAACCCCCGTGCACTGCCTGGTTCTTCCTGCTCAGCAAACCAGAGACACGTCACACTCGATGCAGCGCCAGTGATGGAGAAGTGTGAACTGATCCTCTCAACGCGCCTCTGAAATGAGCCGGGAACTGTCACCACCGCGCGGGAGCGGGGAAGTGACGCCGCTTCCTGCGTGTGACATCGCAAACCAGCGGCAGCACTAGAAGGTTAATTATTCCCAGCCTTAGAAAAACTTTAAATCGTGATTCTTATCAGCTTCTTCTCTGACATGAGCATTAAAAGAGAGAGACCCCTTCCCTCTCGGATTACGCCACCGTTTTCAGTCACAGTCATGGCAATGCTGGCATTGCACTAAGGGATTTCCAGAGGATGTTGTCAGGTAAATAACATCGTGCTCCACATGTCGATTGAGCCTTTTAAAGAAAGTTTCAGTGCGGCTGTGTGCTGAATTTGTAATTTCCCCAGTGCACAATGCAGAAAATGATGCAAACCCATTACATGAATTCTGAAGACAAAGAGAAATCTCAGCTGCCTAAATGAGAATAAATCAAAAAGTAAACATGGAGGCTAACAAGAACCATAGGAATAACCTGGAGAACCAAATCATATCTAAGAAGAATCCCTGTACAACATGGCAGGACGGAGGAAGCAGCATGTTAAACTCACAAAATACAGATGTTTCACTGAAATGAGAGATTTGTAACTATTGCCTGTTCGGCCAACCTGAGCTCCAATTTGTGCACTACAGAGTCATACCTCATGATTTTTCTAGAACCATTTATAATATTTCAGCATTCCTTGCCTGAGAAATTCCACTTTGTTGTCAGATGATGTTCCTCCTGCTCAGGATGGTTGGAGAAGTTGAGCTGATGTGCACAAGGAGGTGCTGCTAAACCCAACAGCCCACGGATGAAAAGGGAGCGATCATGTGAGGAAAGAGGGGCTGAAAGAACCATAAGGGCAACCAAGCCTGGAGGCAAGGTTTGGATGAGTTTTTATACCACCTTCTTGGGGGTTTTGTTACTAAATTTAATGCCTAGAAAGAGGATAAAGTTAGATGTTGTACGGTGAGAGGATTATCTTTGTATGTCACTCTGGGAAAGGCACAGCTCACATGCAGTCCACGGCGGAATTTTGAAAAATCCTTCTTCAAAAAAAGTATAAAAAGAGGAAAAACTATGAAATCCTCAACTAGATGGAAAAAAAGAGAAGATCTTAAGAAGTCTAACAGACAGCCTTAAAACCAAAGCATGTAGACTCAATATAATTTATTAGAGGGGCTGGAAAAGGCAATATCTGCAGTGGAACAGCAAAGTTATCCAAGAGGAGATTTACCAGGAGCTCAAAAACCTGTGAATATGGTCCAAATTAGGGGAATTCAACACCTGCTTTGCCCAGTTCTGAGCCAGGCAGGTGCAGCTGCATTTTTAAGAGTGTGTAAAAAAGGACCGTGCCATACATGAGAGGTGCAATAGCAAAGAGCCTTAACCAAAAGCAGAGACATTTTACTCTAGATTCTCAATCAACTGGGAACTGAGAGGATGAGGTTACCACATGTGTAAAAAGCCAGATCTGCTTTCTTTTAGGTCACTAATTCTGATATTTTTGCATCCATTTAGGTCAGCAGGGTCATAAAGTATAACCTTTCCATTTTGCAAAGTTTCTTCTAAGTCGTTCTCTAAGAGCTCCTTTAATGTGTCCTTACCCAGAGCAGTGGGGCTGGCTCAGCTGGGCTCCTTTTCCATTTGATGCACAGTTACTTTACTGCATGGGCCTGTGATGTTCAATAGGGGAAGAAGAGCTAAATTAGGCTAAAGTGTATTTTAATTTAATACAATTTGTGCTAATACTGAAAATACACATCTATTATATCTGACACTGTTTAACGTTTCGGTATTTGCTTAATTAGCGATGCCCTATGAGAATGAGTGACTCCTGGTAAGTGGTTTCCTTTGGGGCTCTAGAAGGGGTCTCTGCCCCAGAGCAGCTGTTCCTACAGCTTGTTCTCTGTGTGGCCACAGTGGATTTGCTGCTTGGTTGCAGCACTGAAACTATCTGTCAAGTCCAAAGCAGAAAAAGAGTTTGAAAGGCAAACATGATCTGTGATCAATATCCTAACAAATCCAAAGGAAGCCCCAGCTCCCAAAGGGTTAATCCAGAGAAGAAAAGGCATCCGCATGTTTAGCGAGCTAATGTGTTTATTGACTGGGAGGCCTTTAAGTCTTCAACAGGGAAAAGCTCTGATAAGTGACTGGAAGTTCAAGTCAGACAACCTAGTTTTGGTGAAACTTGGGTTGAAGGAGGGTTACCTTTTCCAGCTGATTGACTTTTTGGACTCTGGGGGGGTCATCCCTGAGGTGTCCTTTGGCAGGGGGTCTGCACCTGCTCAGAGCAAAGCCCACTGTGGAACAGGGATGTTCCCAGAACAGGGAGTATCCAGGCTGGCAAGCATGGACACAACACACACACCTTGTCCCAGAGAAAAATGATGGGCCAGTGTCCCTCCAGCATGCCCCAGTGCCTTTCAGCATGTTTGAGTCTGGAACTGCAGTGTGTTGTAACCGTCTGCCAAACCTGTCACCTGGACACTCCTGATTTCTGCAGGGACGTCCCAAAATCTACGACTCTCTGCTGAGAGCACAACACTACTTGGTGCCTCCACTTCCCAACCTGGAGCTGACTCCCTGCTTCCAGGCTGGCATTGGGACAGCTGCCCACCAGCCTGGTGGACACCCCTGCCCAGTGCTGCACTGAGAGCTGCACTGGACCACCTTAACCCCCCGTGTCCACCCGCTGTGGGCACTGCCGGGGTCAGGGGTCAGTGTCCGCCTGCTGGCACAGTGAGAGCCAACATTGTCCTTAAATGGCTGCAGGGAAGAGACAATGCCCCCCTGCCACTGCCAGGCATACCTCAGGGCAGGGGTATCTGCTCTACTGGAAAACTGCCAGCCTGGGAGGTGATGGAAGTCGCTGAGGGCAGCTGGAGAGTCAGGAACCTCTGACAGCAACTCAGTGACCTGACCAGCCCCATGGAGCTGCTTGGCACTGGCTGGGCTTTTCCCCTGGATGAATCCCCTGTGATGAATCCTCAGCTCTGTGGATTTAGCCCCCTGTGCCAGCCGGGAGTTGCTGTTTGGGGACAGGTCTGGGCTGCCCTTCCCAGCCTGATCAGAAACACCCAGTGACCTGGCCTCACCTCCCCACTCCTGATGGCTGGACCCTGTGCCCTGGCACGAGCACGCCACTGTCAGACAGAGGGCGAGGGAACCCTGGGTTACATGTGGTGCCTTTTGCCATGACACTGTTGGAAATTACTTTAAAATCCAAATAACAAAACCAGGGGGTGAGAGACATTACCAGGATTCAGGATAACAGAAACACTGGGATTTTGGTAAATGTACAGGTTTTGATCTGTCCCACACCATAGCATGCACCTAATTCAAGACATAACTGCAAGGAAGAGTCAGTAGATTTCTCTGCCCTTTTCGTGCCAAAATCCCCTGGTTCAGGTACCGTGGCAGCAACTACAAAAATGTAATGACAGAATATTCCTGGCAGATTTCTGCTGTATTGGGAAAGGACTGTAACTGAACCAGGTACATCCCATTTCTACATTAGTTAAGAGATTATAAGAAGATAAATTAAATTAATGGTCCATCTAGCCAATATCCTGTCATCAACAGGGACCGGTAACAGCCCTGCAGGCAGGAGTATGGAATCAGTGAGCAGACAGTGCTGCTGCCCCAGAAACCACCAACAACTTGGGATTAAAGGACTTTCCGCACTACAAGTATGTCCCACTTTTCAGCAGTCCCCAATGGATTTTTCTCCCAGGAAGCTGTTCAGTTGCTCCTGCACAGAGAGATGATCAAGAGATGCCAGTATCCCAAGTGCCTATTCAGGAAACAAGTAAATACCCTGGAAAATTGTTCCCTGTAGGCCTGACAATCTGGTTGGGAATAGCTATGAGGAGGCGGGTGAGGAGCAACACCACTGCGGCCTTGGAGAGAACGGGCATAATGTATCCTGGCACTGCTCCCAGTGAAAGGCCTAAATTGGAAATTTAGGGTGGGTGCTGCCCACCACGCGACACAGATCCCCACAGGAATATTCTCCTTCTGCAGAATCCCAGCCTGGGGACAGGGTGGAGATTCAGCCTGAGCGGTGAGATCTGCAGGCACACTGAGCACAAGGACTGAGCTGAGGTTTGAGCCTCAGTAGCTCGAGATCCAGATCTTCATGGGTTGGGATGTTTGATTGACCGGGCCATCAAAGGAGACACCAGTCGTTCTTGCTCTCAGGCTTCTCCTCGCCTCGATTTGCATATTCAAGGATCTCCGATGTCTGGCTGTCAGAGATGGTGACAGTTGGGGGGGGTTTTTTAGCTTTATCAAGGGGGATTATTTTTAACCCAAATTATTTTGCATTGTAAATGTTTAAATCCACATCAAATCCAGATTAATGCATAAAATAGTCCAAGAGGGTATTTACTGGGGAAAAAAATAACAATAAATCAAATTATTATGGCTAGCTCCCATCTGAAGTGTTTTAAAAAGGGGAAAGTCTGAGATTTTGGCTAAAATATCACTTCAAGGAGAAGATTGAAATAAACCTCTCTACAAAACGGCCCAAGTTTACATACAAACTGGAACCCTTGGTACTTTTTCACAACATGACTGGAATTAATAATGCAGATAAATCCTAAATAAATCAGGATTAGTGTTAACTACGTCTTGAGGTTTAATACGCTGTACAAAAATGAAAGGGGGCTGGCGGGGGAGGAAGGAGCTTTGCCTTAAACCCCGCCGGAGCAGAGCCCGGAGGAGGGCCGGGAGCCCCCGGACCCGCCGAGCTGGGCAATCAAAGCGCCTCTAATCGCCCCGCTCCGGGATGTGTTCAAAGGATCCGGGCTGGCCACGGGCTGCCTGAGGTCACCAGGGAAATGCAGTCGCAGGGCAGGGGGAGGGGTGTCTCGGATTTTTGGACAGCCCGGTTGTTTGGATCTGGTTTCAGGAGGTCAGCCGGATTGCAGTATTTTACCGTCTTATCAGCAAAAAGATTAAATTTCCCTTCGTGGTTAAGGAGCTCAGTCCCACTCTGAAGGAAAATATAAATAAAACTGCCAACACAATCACCCGAGTAGAACCTGTGGCAGCGTGTCGGCGGCTCAGCCTGGGGAGCCGCTGCCCGGTGCCCTCGGCCCCCCGGCCACACTGGGGGATGTCCCCAACATCCTCCTTCTCCTCGGAGGGGTTCGGTGCACCCTCCGGGTCGGGAGAGCGGTAAAAGGGAGGGAGGGAAGGCTGAGCGAGGGCAGCTGGCTTTGCTGCCTGCTGAGATGAGAGTGGTTCGAACAGTGTCCCAGTGAGGGTGTCTCCAACAGTGTCCCTGCAGAGGTGGCTCCACTGGTGTCCCTGCTCCTCCCCAGGGCTACTGCCCAGCCAGCAAGCACTGTCCTGTCCCACCCTCCTCCTCCCTGTGCTGGACGGAGCCAGGGCTGATGAACCCCTCACTTTCTGATACAGAAATAGAGTGTTAAAGTTTTTACATTTTTTTCAAAGCCACAGAGGAGTAGAAAAATGCTTCTCGTATTCACTGCGTTACCTGGGAATTCACTTTCCCTCTCTGTTCTGGCTCTCTCCTTGTGTAAGAACAACGCTCGCTTGGGGCTGCCCTGCCTCTCCCAGGTGTGGGACTGGGCTGGAAACTCTCAGAAATTAGCGGCATTCTAAGAAATCTCATCTCCCATCTGTTTCCTGTTCCTCTTTCAGCACTTTCTCAGCGCTCACACCAGCTCTGAGGCTCAGAAAAGCTGAGGGCCAGGTTCTCACCCATCTTGTGCCACAGCTCATCACTGACACCTGTGCCAATGGCGATAAATCCGTGAGAATGATCCCATGGGACATGTGCCACTTCTGCCGTCCCAGGTCCCTTTGCCCGGATGTGTATGTCACAAATCCGAACAAGATCCCAGCTCTTTCCCTAAAGCAGCCAATTGGCTAACCTGTTGTTTGGATGTGGAATATTTACCTATGACTAAACATTGACCAGTAAGCAAACAGAGGAGGTTTTCAATAATTTTTAAATATTTAAGAGCTGGAAATGACCCTGTTTTATATCATACACAGCAAAGTGCCAGTAATCAGTGGTGCTGGTGCTGATGTTAGTTGTTGGGGTTCTGAAACATAACACCTCCTGAAAGAGTGAGTCTGTGTCTCCAGTCTCTGTAAGAACAAGCCTGCAGGTCTGTGTCCAGACTGACAGACTCAAAATGATCCTGGTGACACCTCCTGGCAGGTCCCTCTGCACGAGTCAGAACATTCACCTCAGTGCCAGTGGAAACTTAAAAAAAAGTTAAAGAAAATAAACCCTAGGTCTGTCCTTTCTTTAAGGGAACTTAAGCGTAGGTCTGAGGAGATAAAGATGAGATGCACAAGTGTAAGAAGACCTGAGTTACCTCTGATTGCTCTGACTCTTGCAGAGAGCACGGTGCTCACCCACGGGTTCTCCTCCCCCAGGAGCAGCCATACGGAGCACGAGCCACCCACAGACTCCGCATGACCTCTGGGTCGGTGCAGATGAACCAAACCCAAAGGATGCTCTCCAGCAGCTGCAGCACCTGCGTGGCCCCAAGGCAGGACGAGCCCTGGGCTGAGCTCACAGTGGCTCAGGCTGCTCATCCCTGGAGGTACCTGGTACCACCATGTAATGCTGAGAGTCCCTGTTCCACACTGCACCAACACACCCATGCAGCCTAAATCCCTTCTGTGGGCT